ACTTTTAAGTATGGGACTCTCCTCTTAGAACATGCAACACCTGACTGTTGAGTCAGGGGCACTGACCTCTTTTCCCTTAGATTGTCAAAAAAAAAAAAATGACAATAACCAACACAACAATAGCATCTGGTGTGAATGCCTGGTCTTGAACCATACACATACAGGTCATATAATAAGAGTTGCATCTTATTGGTCACGTTGCATAATAAGGTTGCATCTGACTGCATTCTTGGCACCAGAAATCCTTATATGCACCTATAGGCACCTGATTTCTTAAAAGGTCACGTTGGAACAAAAAGGGTAGGTAAGGACAACTATTATTATTGTAAATCAATCAAAATTATACCTATTTTTTTTGTGAGATTGGCAAAAAATACAATATGTTTTTTGGTGTGCCACTGGATTTTGGTCATTAGTGTGTGTGTGCTATGAGACGAAGAAGGCTGAAAATCACTGCTCTAGAGTTTTTGTGAACCAATGGCCGAGGCCAGATGGTTCCCTAGAAACAGAGAAAGAATCCTCAATGTCAAAACAGTTCCTTCTACAGTGTGTCCGGGGAATCTGAAGGGGAGAGACAGTTGCAGCCGAGACAAAGACCCCTTTGCAGTTGATTGTGTCCTCTGTGGACTCTCTAGGCTGGCCCTCCCTTTCCTCCTTGTGGTCAGTCCTTCATTCTGCTCTTCCTCTGACTCTCGGTGAGGAGAAGCCAGGCTCTGTGAGGGTGCTGCTGTTCATGCACAAGGCCAATTTCATCAGTTCAGAGGATTGGGCTATTAGTTAAAATTAGGCTTTTGGATTTTCTTTTTCATCATCTATTTTGTCTCCCACCCACTCCTCCTGGGGGATAATTAAGAATTGCCTATGAGCCTCTTGATTTCTCCTGTAAGTCTTTCTAGCTTATTGATTCCAAAAGCCTTTAACATTCTTGCTTTTTTTTTTAAATTAGCTCTCTCTAAAAATTAAATTGTGGTTATTTGTTTCAGATTTTAGATGTCCTCCCTCCTGTTTCTGAGACTAGAGGCTCGTCCATATTTTCTATTATTTTGACTATTTTTTTCCATAAGCAGAAGTAGGAATGTATTGACTCCTATAGTTGAGAGAGATACTTGGGAAATCAGAGAATTAAGGGAAGATCCATGGGAGCCAGGGCCTCGGGTGCTGGAGAAGGAGCCTTGCTCCCATTCCTCCCCACCCCCTCAGCCTCCAGCACCCACTCCCCCTTGCCTCCTGCCTTGTTCTGCACTTACCCCTCAGCTCTGCCTCCCACCAGAACCTACCTTGCCTCGTGCCAGGTAACCTGGCACCGCAGCCCTGCTTAGCAACCCAATGCAAAGCGAGTTTTCTCAGCATCTCTCTATTGATTATCTAATAATTGTAATCATTTCCCCTAAAAGGAGAACCACTTCGAGCGTAACGGAGCCATGTCTGCTCTCTGTAATTGACGTTAATAAGAGCAAGGTCACACAGGGCCCTGGACCTCCCCAAACAGGAAGTGAGGCGGGGGAGTGTGTGTGTCGGGGAGACTGATGGGGTAGAGCAGATGCAGCAGAGTATCTGACCCATGGGGTCCCTCAGAAATCAAATGTGTTATAATGTCCCTCTCCCTGGAGAGAATTATTTGGACACAATTTATGCCAATTAAAACAATTCATATTTTCCTGATTTATTATTCTGGATTTTCCCTGCTGTCTCCCTGCTTCCTCTCATCCCGCCTCCCCACTTACTGCTAATTGAGTCAGTAATACCCAGAAAATACCTCCCTCTGCTCTAAAATGCAGGAACTGGTAGATCAGTGTCTCCTTACCCTAAGGGTGAGGAGGGCTGGGTTATGAGCCTGCTCTGTCCCCGTTTCTGTCTCATTACCAGCTTCTATTCTGTGTAATTATCTCATCCGGTCGTGTTCGACAGCCTCGCCTGGACGTGCTTGTGGCTTCTTAGAGCAGGGAAAGAGACCAGAGGTCATCTTGTCTGGTGGCCCGTAACCAGGACGCACCAGCATCACTGAAGATCTTTCCAGAACAATCACGTCCAGGCAGACGGCCCAGTCAGTGCCCACTGCTCAGCTCACGCGTGAGAAGGCCTCGCGCTCACAGGTGGGGCAGGATGGCCGTGCTCCAAGGTGATGCAGGAGGAGAGAGCCATGGATGGGAGATGCATGGTAGCAGCTCTGAGCGGGCAGAACAGATGCTGGGACTGCAGGAGAGAAAGGGGAGGTGTCAGGAAGTCATCTCTCTGGGTTTTCAGAAGACCCTGACTGAGGTTTGCACAGTAGCCACAGGTGATGCACAGCAGGGGCCCCCGAAGCCAGTCAGCCTCCTGCTTAGTCCTTTGTGCCTGCCAGGAATCCAGCCGATTCAGAATTCCAGGTGTAATGGATACAGCTGGAGTCAGGAGGCAGTGACCACCCCAGAGATGGGCAGGTTTCGGGAGGACACTCCGCTTCCCCTCTTTTCTGTCTTTGGATTAGGCTGCAGTATTTGTCAGAACCCCAGGGGCCCTGTGTGTTGGGCTGTTGCACTGTACCTGGTCCTCATTCTAAATACACAACCTCAAAGGACAGCCCCTGCGATGTGCTCACGGGGCCCACACACTGCAGCCACGGCAGGGGCCGCACTCGAGAGGCCCCCAGAACGTCAGGGCTGAGATAGGAACGTTTGGTTGACTTGATGACATCCTCACGAAGGTAATAAAAGGGGAGGGAAAAGTTCAGGGAAGACCTCGGATGGATGAGCAGAATTCTCTAGCATCCATTAGGGAAAACATCTCTCCAGTTCCATGTATTTCAGGTGCTGCCAGCTCACCATTGGCGAACCAGAGCTCCGATTGAGCTGCTCTCCTGCGCCCTCTTAACAAGGTTCCTCCTAATAGTGGGTAGAGCCATGGGGTAGCTTCCCATGGTCAAGTAAACTGGCCTGGAAGATCGCCCCGATCTGGACCTCATTACATGGAGTTGTGCTTGTTACCATGGAGAACAGCTTCAGCAGTTCTTGTGCCTATAGATGTACATGCAGAAGATGTGTAGAGACATTCCAGCTAAATCTTAACTAGCTTCAGAACTTGTGTTACACGTGTCCGGGGAAAGCTCATTTGGGTCAGAGGAGGTAACAACTTGGGGGTGTGGCACTTCTTTCTTTAGACCAGAATGAGCATGTTGCAGGAATAGAAGTTTTGAGACCTGTTTAAATAATAATTTTAATTTAAGTAACAGTCCAGGCTCTGGGGGAAGCACCCTGGGCTGCTGACGGAGGAAGGCTGGATGCCGTGTCAGTCTTAGACTTTCCACCGTGCAATGAGGTGCTCTTGCCTTCCCCACAGGTCCAGTTCCTCTCCCCACGGGCTCGCCGTCGCTTCCACGCTGCCCTAGCCTCGTGCTCCACCTCCATGCTCATCCTGTCCAACCTGGTGTTTCTTGGGGGCAACCAAGTTGGGAAGATCTACTGGAATAGGATCTTCATACAAGGTAAGTTGCCGGGCAATGCTATTTTCAGTCAATTTCTTGCTTTCCACATATGCACTTGGTATCTTGGATGGGGTGGGGCATTCATTGTTCTATTTATGGCATATGACTTATAAAAATACCAGCCAGGAACAGCGCCCTGTGTTTTGAGGTACTTCTTATGTATGACACGTGACACTCAACATCAGAATGTTCTGTCCTGCCTTGCTGGTGTGGCTCAGTGGTTGACCATCGACCTATGGACCTGGAGGTCATGGTTCGATTCCTGGTCAGGGCACATGCCTGAGTTGCAGGCTTGATCACCAGTAGGGGGCATGCAGGAGGCAGCTGATCAATGATTCTCTCTCATCATTGATGTTTCTATCTCCCCTCGCCCTTCCTCTATGAAATCAATGAAATTATATTTTTAAAAAATGTACTGTCCCGACTATCCCAAACTCTTCCATTCCATTCTGCTCAGTTACCTCTTCAATTTTTTCACTTTAAAAAAAATCTTACCAGCCTTCAGCATACGGCAGAGTCTAACCTTCTTCCACTTACCGCTCTGAAAGTCCTGCTAGGATTATGTGCTAGGAGCCCCTTGCTCTCCTGCAGCTGTGGGTGTGGCACTGGTTGCCACAGCTCTCTGTCGGGGATGTTTTTGCCTGCACACCGGGATGCCAGCACTGCCAGCCGACTGCATGATCCACGCACATTAAGTGGCTCCTCTCAGTGTCCACAGTAAGCCACACCTGCAGCAGGTAAAATGCTAGTTTGTGGGAATTACTGTGAAAACATTGCGTTAATAATTAACCATTTAATTAAGGTCACCATTTCCCTGGGGCTGGAACTAAACGTTGCATCACGTCCTTTAGAGAATTGGGAGAAAGGGAAGTACTCACAGGACACATCCCTCCAGCCACTTCCCTCTGTTCTGTTTCCCTGACCAGTGGTGGGGTTTTGCGCCTTCGGTTTGGGAAGCTTTGCCAAACCCTGATGATGCGACTCTGCATGTCTAGGCTGTCACTTGCACACGGTGGCAGGCGTGGCTGAGCCAGGCTCATGGGTGCCAAGCGAGGGCCCTGTTCGGCTTTCGTCTCCTCACCACAATGCCCCTCTTTTATCTTCCTTTCTGAGAAATGTCTTAGCTGATCATTCCTGAAAGATGATGTATTTTTCAAGTGGAGGCCATCCTTTAATAGATGGGAGATAATGGGTGCAGAGGACCTAAAGATTAAAAAATGCTGCTAGGGGCGGTGACAGTGTTTTCCTTATATTGCCTCCTACCAACCACCGTACCTAGCACAATGCTGAGAACCTACAGCTCCGGGGAAATGCTGACTTGTGGTTTGCTGGCCCCGTGAGCGAGAAGGCTCTGATTTTTGCTTCAGTCAATCAAGCGTATTGAATGTTTGCAGCTTGCAAGGCACTGAGACTACGCGGGTGGGAGAAGCACCCACAAATGTGGGGCCCAAACTTGCAAACAGAAATGTGTCCATAGATTCAGGTAACTGCTTGCCAGACACATGCGGTGAGGGAGGAGAGGCCGACCTTCCCTGGAGGGTGGACTTCCCAGAGGAGGCGGCATGTGACGTGGAGTTTAAAGCACAATAAGTAGGAATTTGTCAGGTGGAGAAGGCAGGTGTATGGGGGTCCTTAACACTTGCCGCCATGTCAGCTAATTCCCAGCTCTCGGTAACTGTTCCCCATAGAAGTTATTCTTCTCACAGTGACCCCTAGACAGTGGTCGGCAAACTCATTAGTCAACAGAGCCAAATATCAACAGTACAACGATTGAAATTTCTTTTGAGAGCCAAATGTTTTAAACTTAAACTATATAGGTAGGTACATTGTTATTAACTTAATTAGGGTACTCCTAAGGCTTAGGAAGAGCCACACTCAAGGGGCCAAAGAGCCGCATGTGCCTCTCGAGCCGCAGTTTGCCGACCACGGCCCTAGGAGGTTTCTGTTTTGATTCTCCACCGCCTTGTCCTGGCATCACGGAGGGGAAGGGACGTGGGGGTGGTGCACAGGCACTAAATACCCCCTGCTGCCGCCGGAAGTGACGTTGCCCCGTGGCATTTGTGCTCACATCCCATTGGCCAGGGCCAGTCCCTGACCAACTTACGTGCACCTGGGTGCTCCGTGGGAGAGAACTCGGGTATTCCCAGGCAGTGGCGCAGCGGGGAAGGGTCCCAGCGGCAGCAGCAGGAAAGGGTGCCCCGGAGGCCGCTGAAAATGTAAGTGGGAGTGCAGAGGCGGGTGGGGCTAAATGATTGCAACGTGGGGGCCAAGGGCCCGGAGGTGGCAGGTAAGGCCATGCGAGTGGACACAGCCAGTCAGGGAGCACAGAGCAAGGGAGCAGGTGGGCCGTGGG